AGGTTAGGAGTTCGAGATCAGCCTGGCCAACACGGTGAAACCCTGTCTGTTATAAAAGTACAAAAAAATTAACCAGGCATGGTGGCATGTGCCTGTAGTCCCAGCTACTCGGGAAACTGAGGCAGGAGAAAATTGGCCAAACCAAAGGGGCCACAGGCCCTATGCAAGTCCAAAACCTGGCAGGGCACTTGTTAAAATTTTTTTTAGAACTCGTTAAATCTGAAAGCTCCAGAATGATCTCCTTTGATTCCATGTCTCACATCCAGGGCATGCTGATGGAAGAGGTGAGCTCCCAGGACATTGGCAGCTCCTTCTCTGTGGATCTGTAGGGAACAGCTGACATGGCTGCTTTCAAAGGCTGGCATCAAGTGCCCCTGGCTTTTTCAGGCACATGGTGCAAGCTGTCAGTGGATCTCCTATTCTGGGGTCTGGAGGACATTGACACTCTTTTGTGTAGGGGCCCTGACCCCACATTTTCTCTCTGCATTGCCCTAGTAGAGGCTCTTCATGAGGGCTCTGCCCTAGCAGCAGACTTTTGCCTGGACATCTAGGTATTTTCATACATCCTCTGAAATCTAGGTGGAGGCTCCCAAAGCTCTGCTCTTGTCTTCTGCACATACCTGCAAGCCCAACACCATGTGTCAGCTGCCAAGGCTTGGGGCTTGCACCCTTTAAAGCAATGCCCCAAGCTGTATCTTGGCCCCTTTTAGCCTCAGATGGAGCTGGAGTGGCTGAGACTCAAGGTGTCATGCCCCAGGGCCACACAGAGCAGTGGGGTCCCAGGCCCAGCCCACTAAACCATTTTTCTCTCCTAGGCTTCCAGGTCTGTGATAAGAGGGGCTGCCACGAAGATCTCTGACATGCCCTGGAGACATTTTCCCCACTGTCTTGGCTATTAACATTCTGTTTCTCATTTTTCATGCAAATTTATTCAGCCAGCTTGAATTCCCTCCTGGAAAATGGGTTTTTCTTTTCTACCACTTGGCCAGGCTCCAAGTTTTCCAAACCTTTTTCTCTGCTTCTTTTTTAAACATAAGTTCCAATTTCAAACCATCTCTTTGTGAACACATCTGACTGAAAGCTTTCAGAAAATGCCAGGTCACCTCTTGAATTCTTTTCTGTTTAGAAATTTCTTCTGCCAGATACCCTAAATCATCTCTCGAGTTCAAAGTTCCACAGATCTCTAGGGCAGAGGCAAAATGTTGCCAGTCTCTTTGCTAAAGCATAACATGAGTGACCTTTACTCCAGTTCCCACTAAGTTCTGCATCTTCATCTGAGACCATCTCAGCCTGGACATCATTGTCCATATCACTGTCAGCATTTTGGTCAAAATCCTTCAACACTCTAGGAAGCTCACAACTTTCCCACATCTTCTTTTCTTCTGAGCCTTCCAAACTTTTCCAACCCCTGCCTGTTATCTAGTTCCAAAGATGCTTCCATATATTGTCAGGTTACCTTTATATCAGTACCCCACTCTGCCGGTACCAATTCTCTGAATTAGTCCATTTTCACACTGCTATAAAGAATACCTGAAACTGGGTAATTTATGAAGAAAAGAGGTTTAACTGACTCACAGTTCTGCATGGCTGTGGAGGCCTCAGGAAAGTTGACAATCATGGCAGTGGGCAAAGGGGAAGCAGGCACCTTCTTCACAAGGCGGCAGGAGAGAGAGAATGTGCAGGGGAAACTGCCACTTTTAAAACCATCAGCTCTCATGAGAACTCGCTATCACAAGAACAGCATGAGAGAAACTGCCCTGTAATCCAATCACCTTCCACCAGGTCCCTCTCTTGACACATGAGGATTATAATTCAAGATGAGATTTGACTGGGGACCCAGAACCAAACCATGTCAATACTGAAATGGGATAACTGAACAGTTCGCTAAAGGGACTAGTTACAAAGGTATGGGCAGAGTAACAGAAACTAACAAGGGATGGTTCAAGAAGCAGAAGTCGGGGTTAGTGACAACAGGGAGCCTTTACTACTTCTTGACCTATCAGGGAAAACGGAGAGAACTACCAGAGAGCAGCTGTAATGGAAAGGCTGTCTGACACGAGCTGTGGTCTTCATTGCAGAGGAGAAACTTAAGCAATGTGATCTGGCAAGGAGGAGAAAGTAGAATAAATATCTTGGCCACTCGTTCTCCTTTGATTTGTAGCCACTGGCTTCTACTGGCCAAACCTATGTAAAAGTCCAAGGGCAAGGGGGTCCTTTGATGAAGTTCATGGAGCCCAGCTGACCAGGCTTAGAATAGGATGGAGAAGAGCAGAGTGAAGGTCTAGAGGGACAAATGGAAAATGTCTAGCACATCCATTTTCAGGCAGAGTGGTACAATAGCTATGAGATAAAGGAATAACAAGACTTGGCTCATTGTGTTTGTGACCTTGACAACAGTTGCTTTTTTGGAAAAACTCAAAGTTAGCATTTATATTGTTATTTTCTGTGTGATCAGATGATTTCTAGCTCAATAATAAAGTCAATTTTCTAACTGAACATTAAGTGAATAGTTTATAATTGCTAAATATTTTCATGCCACTATAATTAGCCCCAGAATTAATTTATTGATTAAGAGCTATCTCTCTTTTTGGAATATTGAGGTTCAGTTAGTTGTTGGCCAGTGATCTCTGATGGGTAACTCATGTCCCGGAGTTACTTAATACTTTGCCAAGTATATTCTTTTAAGATGATAGTCAGAGAAGCCCATAGTTATCCAGAAAAGTAAGAAAAGATGTCCTCTTTGAGAATCGTTCTGCAAATGTAAGTAAATGGACTTACAAACAAATATTAGAGTTTTGGGGGGAGTTTTTTGAATATGGAAGAGTGGATTTTTGCCATTTTGTCAAGATGTATTGCTGTGCACATTTATTTACTCCTTTAGATCTTTATTTTGGTAAATGTTTTATTTGAGTATTTTAAGGTCCCAGAACTAGGAGAGCCAGCTTGAAGTTTCAATAGAAATAAGTGATATAGCTTCTGTCTTTGAGAATTTCATAATTTAATCAGAGAGATGATTGTGTTGTGTAATACAAAATTAGACAACAACCCAGTGTTCTGCTGTGGGAACATCAGTCTGCCGTGAAGAAACAAGGGTCCTTGTTCAACTAAGCCACTTAACAAGTCAACGTAATTTTTGCCAAGTCACTTAACTTATCTGAGCTTCTGTTTCCTCATTGTTAATGTTCCTTTGATCTCTGAAATTCTGTGAAAATCAAATTCCAATTACAGAAATATCCATTGGCTGGGGTTGGTCTGGGAAGACTTCATAATAACCGTGTTTCCTTTGAGATGTCTAAAGGAAAGTTCAGCCTTGCTTTTCAGAGAGATTTCCCTTGATAGATGGTGTATGGCATTTTTTTCCCCCCCCCCACCGGGCAGTGATCTGCAGAAGTCAGCAAAAATTTTCAAGATCATAGGGCCCGAGGTGAAGTTTAAAAAGCTGTTTCTCCCCTGAAACTGGATGTGTACCTTTTTAAACGATTCCATCTTGTTTGACCAGCTTCCTGCTTTATACTCAAACTGTGGAAATGGTTCTTTTCTGGCATTTTTCACTAACAAAATTTAGCAGGAATTAAGGTGAAAGTACATCTTAAACATCACAGTTGGGGAAATACAGGCGTTTGTGTTCTGTTCACTGCATCATTGACTTTTTTCTGTAAAGACAAAAACTAATGCATTCTATTTCTGAGATATTGTCTTGAAGTGACATTAAAAAACACAATCTTGGAAATATGTGAAATTCTGTTGAAAATATTTTTTCAAGAGAAAACATTTGTATTTAAACTGTAATTTTTTAAAAGCAAAAAGTGATTGCAATGGTTATACTTAGTGTTTAAAGAATTTAAGTGAAATAGGATAGCTAACTAAATTTAATAATTCACCTAACGTTTCCTTCTGTTATAATTTGTTTTCCTTTATTAATGAGAAATGCTAAGTTAGAGTTGACAAATTAGATTCTTAACACATGAAGACTCTTTTTACTTGAGCTTGCCTTCTGTCTGTCTTTATGAGATAGATTTATGAAGAAGCAATAGGTCTCTGTGAACAACCTGGACAGGCTCAAAACTGGTTATGGTCACACTAAAGTCAGGTTAATATCTGACACTATTCAATGTAAGAAAATTTCTTGGTCTTTGAAGGAAGTCTTGGAGGAAGACTATGTGATAAAGGATAGGTACAAAACAAGTTAATGCTTAAAATCCAGCCTCTGGCAATGGGATAATATAAACCTTTTCCTTGTGTTTTTATTTCTATTGTACTTATCACTGTGACATCTAAGTACAGCAATGTGAATTACTATGCTTGTTTGCCTACTATGTAGGTAATACATTTTTAATTGTCTGCTATGTTCTCAGAATGTTCAAGGCAAAGTGAAAAGTTCCTTGTTTAGAAGCCACTTTTCACTCACCCTTACTGGAAGCAGCTGGCTTGGGAGGGCAAGTTCTTAGATGGTGTTGATTTCCTTCTATATATATATATATTTTTCTTCTAAAAAAATCAGGATACATGTGCAGAACGTGTTTGTTACATAGGTACATGTGTGCCGTGGTGATTTGCTGCATCTATTGACTCATCCTTTTAGTTCCCTCCCCTCATCCCCCACCCCCCAACAGGCCCTGGTATGTGTTGTTCCCCTCTGTATGTCTACGTGTTCTCATTGTTCAACTCCCACTTATGAGTGAGAACGTGTAGTATTTGGTTTTCTGTTCCTGTGCTGGTTTGCTGAAGATGATGGCTTCCAGCTTCATCCATGTCCCTGCAAAGGGCATGATCTGACACCTTGTTATGGCTGCATAGTATTCCATGGTGTATATGTACCACATTTTCTTTATCCAGTCTGTCATTGATGGGCATTTGGGTTGGTTCCATGTCTTTGCTATTGTAAATAGTGCTGCAGTAAACATACATGTGCATGTGTCTTTATAGTAGAATGATTTATATTCCTTTGGGTACGTATCCAGTAGTGGAATTGCCGGGTCAAATGCTATTTCTGCTTCTAGATCCTTGAGGAATCACCAGTGCATATCGCCAGTCATCTTCCGCAGTGGCTGAACTAATTTACATTCCCACCAACAATGTAAAAGCGTTCCTGTTTCTCCACAGCCTTGCCAGCCCCTTGTTTCCTGACCTTTTAATCATCATTCTAACTGGTATGAGATGGTATCTCATTGTGGTTTTGATTTGCATTTCTCTGATGATCAGTGATGTTGAGCTTTTTTTCATATGTTTGTTGGCCACATAAATGTCTTCTTTTGATAAGTGTCTGTTCATATCCTTTGCCCACTTTTGGATGGGGTTGTTTATTTTTTCCTTATAAATATGTTTAAGTTCCTTGTAAATTCTGGATATTAGACCTTTTCAGATGGGTAGATTGCAAAAATGTTCTCCCATTCTGTAGGTTTCCTGTTCACTGTGATGATAGTTTCTTTTGCTATGCAGAAACTCTTTAGTTTAATTAGATCCTATTTGTCAGTTTTTGCTTTTGTTGCAATTGCATTTGGCCTTTTTGTCATGAAATCTTTGCCCATGCCTGTGTCCTGAATGGTATTGCCTAGGTTTTCTTCTAGGGTTTTTATGGTATTGGATTTTACATTTAAGTCTTTAATCCATCTTGACTTAATTTTTGTATAAGGTGTAAGTAAGGGGTCCAGTTTCATTTTTCTGTGTATGGCTAGTCAGTTTTCCCAGCACCATTTACTGAATAGGAGATCCTTTCCCCATTGCTTGTTTTTGTCAGGGTTGTCAAAGATGAGATGGTTGTAGATGTGTGATGTTATTTGTGAGGTCTCTATTCTGCCATTGGTCTATGTGTCTGTTTTGCTACCTGTAACATGCTGTTTTGGTTACTGATGCTGTTGATTTCTATTATAATGTCATTCAAGGTGAAATGTGGGTTCATGGAGACTCAGACTAAACTTTAGAAGCCTGTTGAACTGTAAACTTTATCATCTGCATAATTTACTCCAGAATGTCTTTTAAGTCAAACAGAAGCAGATACTTGACTTGAAATAGAGACTAGTTACTGACCCTTCAGCATGCAAATCATGAAAATAAGACTTCTAGTTAGTTTAAGACATTTCTTCATCATGCATTATGTAATCCATTTAGTATGATTTAAAGAAGGGAACACTTTTGTATGAACAAAAATATTTTGCTGCCTATTGTGAAGTAATTTTTCCTAAAATACAGCATTACAAAATGCAATGTACATTTTTTTCAGTGCATTGTTAGAATTACAAGTCTGATAAGTATGGCTTGATTTTTATTGTTATGATTGTATTGGTTTTTAAAACCTGATTTGTCTTAATAGGGGGTTAAATTGAAAGAATATAGTTGCTGTTTCTAGAAATCAAGCTAACAGTGCAGCTTATATAGGCTGCTTAGTCCAGTGTCTCTCAGAAGGGAGTTTCGATCCCTTCTTGCCACGGTGAAGGAGAGTGGCTAAGAGCAGGAGATCTGGAGTCAAGCTGCCTGGGTTCACCTCTGTTTATAAGCTGTGTGATCTCGGCAAATTTCTTTTTTTTTTTAAATTAAATTTTTATGGTTACATAGTAGGTATATATATTTATGGGGTTCATGAGATAATTTTGATACAGGCCATGCAATGTGAAATAAGCACATTATGGTGAATGTACTGTGTCCCATCAAGCATTTATCCTTTTGATACATTTATCCTTTGATATCCTTTTGTTACAAACAATGCAGTTACACTCTTTATTTTAAAATGTGCAATTAAGTTATTATTGGCTACAGTCACCCTACTGTGCTATCAGTAGGTCTTGGTCATTCTTTTTATTTTTATATTTTTGTATTTATTTTATATTTTTGTACCTGTTATTCACCCCTACCTTCCCTACAGCCTCCCACTACTATTCCCAGCTTCTGGTAACCATCTTTCTACTCTCTATGTCCTTGAGTTCAATTTTTTTCCATTTTTTTAGAACCCACAGATAAGTGAGAACATGCGATGTTTGTCTTTCTGTGCCTAGCTTATTTCACTTAACATAATGATCTCCAGTTCCATCTCTGTTGTTGCAAATGACTGGATCTCATTCTTTTTTATGGCTTAATGGTACTTCATTATGTATATGTGCCACATTTTCTTTATCCATTCATCTGTTGATGGATATTTAGGTTGCTTTCAGATCTTAGCTATTGTAAACAATGCTGCAACAGACATAGGAATGCAGATATCTCTTCAATATCCTGATTCCCTTTTATTTGGGTATATACCCTGCAGTGGGATTGCTGGATCATATGGTAGCCCAATTTTTAGTTTTGTGAGAAACTCCAAACTGTGTTCTCCATAATGATTTTGCTAATTTACATTCCTAACAACAGTGTACAAGGGTCCCCTGGTCTCCACATCCTCACCAGCATTTTTTATTGCCTGTCTTTTGGATAAGAGCCATTTTAACTGGGATAAGATGATATCTCATTGTAGTTTTGATTACATTTCTCTGATGATTAGTGATGTTGAACACCTTTTCATATGCCTATTTTCCATTTGTATGTCTTCTTTTAAGAAATATCTATTCAGATCTTTTGCCCATTTTGTAGTCAGATTATTAGATTTCCTCCTGTTGAGTTGTTTGAGCTCCTTAGGTGTTCTGGTTATTAATCCCTTGTCAGATGGGTAGTTTGCAAATATTTTCTCCCACTCTGTGGGTTGTCTCTTCACTTTGTTGATTGTTTTATTTGCTGTGCAGAAGGTTTTTAACTTGATGTGATCCCGTTTGTCCCTTTTTGCTTTGGTTGCCTATATTTGTGGGGCATTGCTCAAGAAATTTTTGCCCATAGATTTTCTCCCATGTTTTCTTGTAGTAATTTCATAGTTTGAGGTCTTAGATTTAACACTTTAATCCATTTTTATTTTATTTTTGTATATGGCTGGAGATAGGGGGGTCTAGTTTCCTTCTTCTGCATATAGATATCCAGTTTTCCCAGCACCATTTATTAAAGAGGCTGTCTTTTCCCTAGTGTATCTTGTTTGCACTTTTGTTGAAAATGGGTTCACTGTAGGTGTGTGGATTTTTTCTGGGTTCTCTATTCTGTTCCATTGGTCTATGTGTCTGTTTTTATGTCAGCACCATGATGTTTGGATTACTATAGCTCTGTAGTATAATTTGAAGTCAGTTAATGTGATTTTTTTAGTTTTGTTATTTTTGCTTAGGATGGTTTTGGCTATTCTGAGTTTTTTGTGGTTCCAAACAAATTCTAGAATTGTTTTTCCTATTTCTATTCTTTGAAGAACGACATTGGTATTTTGATAGGGATTGCCTTGAATCTGTAGATTGCTTTAGGTAGTGTGGACATTTTAACAATATTAATTCTTCCAATTCCATGAACATGGAATAGCTTCCCATTTTTTTGGTGTCTTTTTCAAATTATTTCATCAGTGTTCTATAGTTTTCACTGTAGAGATCTTCACTTCATTTCTTTTGTTAATTCGGTATTTTATTTTATTTGTGGCTATTGTAAATGGGATAACTATTTAAAATTTCTTTTTCGGATTGTTCATTGTTGGCATATAGAAGTACCACTGACATTTGTATGATTTTGTATCTTGCAACTTTACTGAATTTATCAGTTCTAAGAGTCTTTTAGTGGAGTCTTTAGGTTTTTCAAAATATAAAATTATATCATCTGTAAACAAGGATAATTTGACTTCTTCCTCTCCAATTTGGATGCCCTTTATATCTTTCTCTTGTCTGATTGTTCTAGCTAGGACTTCCATTATTATGTTGAATAACAGTAGTGATAATGGGCACCCTCGTCATGTTTCAGATCTCAGAGGAAAGGCTTTTAGTTTTTCCCCATTCAGTATGATACTAGTTGTGGGTCTGTTATATGTGTCAAATATGCTTTTATTATGTTGAGGTATGTTCCTTCGGTATTCCGTTTTTTGAGAGTTTTCATCATGAAGGTATGTTGAGTTTTATCAAATGCTTTTACAACATCAATGGAAATGATCGTATGGTTTTTATCTTTCATTCTTTTGATATGTCATATCACATTGATTTGCTTATGTTGAACCATCCTTGCATCCCAGGGATAAATCCCACTTGGTCATAATGAATGATCTTTCTAATGTATTGCTGAATTCAGTTTGCTAGTATTTTGTTGACGAGTTTTGCATCAATATTTATCAGAGATATTGACCTGTATTTTTATTTGTTTATTTATATATTTGTTTATTTATATGTGTCATTGTCTGGTTTTGGTATCAGGGTAATACTGTCCTCATAGAATGAGTTTGGAAGTAGTCCTTCCTCCTCTATTTTTTGGACTTTTCTTTACTGGGAGACTTTATTATGGCTTTGATATCATTACTTCTTATTGGCCTCTTTAGGTTTTGAATTTCTACCTGGTTCAATCTTGGTAGATTGTATGTGTCTAGTTATTTTTCTGTTTTTTTTCTAGAGTTTTCAGTTTATTGGCATATATTTGCTTGTAGTAGCCATAAAGATTTTTTGAATTTCTCCAGTATCATTTGTAATGGATTTTATTTATTTATTTAGAGACAGAGTCTTGCTCTGTCACCAGACTGGAGTGCAGTGGCACGATCTCAGCTCACTGCAATCTCCTCCTCCCTGGTTCAAGCAATTCTCCTGCCTCAGACTCTAAAGTAGCTGAGACTACAGGCACCCGCCACCACGCCCGGCTAATTTTTGTATTTTTAGTAGAGACAGGGTTTCACTATGTTGACCAGGCTAGTCTCGAACTCTTGACCTCATGATTCTTCTGCCTCGACCTCCCAAAGTGCTGGGATTACAGGCGTGAGCCACTGCACCCAGCCATTTTGACTTCTTAATAATAGCCATTCTGACTGGTTTGAGATGGTACTGCATCCTGGTTTTGATTTGCCTTTCTCTATATGCCACAGTTACAGTGTTATAATGTCCTGTGTTTTTCTGTGTACTTACTATTACCAGTGAGTTTTGTATCTTCAGGTGATTATTTGTTGCTCATTAGTGTCTTTTTCTTTCCGATTGAACTACTCCCTTTAACATTTCTCATGGAGCAGGTCTGGTGTTGATGAAGTTTCTCAACTTCTGTTTGTCTGGGAAAGTCTTTATTTCTCCTTCATGTTTGAAGGATGTTTTCACTAAATATACTACTATAGGATAAAAGTCTTTTTTTCCTTCAC